CTCTCTGTTGGCATGGAGACCTTATTAGAAGAGCATTCAGGTGTCTGGCGAACTACGCAGGGTTCTCACTTTTACTTTCAATTCTAGGGTCTCTCTCATGTTGACGGAAACCCCAGTATTCAGTAATATGCACATTTTGAGAGCCCGTTTTCTTTCGAGAAATACGAACACAGTAGTTTTTGTTTAGCATTCTATAATCTATTCACAGGTGCATTTTATGTTGTAAGAATTTTAAACATTTGAACTTTGTAGCGAGATAGTAGTCTGAGTTATAATCTATTTTTTGAACCAAAATATACACATGTATTGAAACTTCTCCTTTTTTCATTTTTTATTCTTATTTCAGTAATATTTCCAGCGCTTTTATGAAAGTGAATTCTGAGTCAGAGACACACTCTACTACTTGATTTCTGTATCTGTTCACTTCTCCTTTTTCTACAAGAAACGTATACTTTTTCAGGAGATGGACTATGACACGGACACCCTTCGATCGGCAAAGTGCAATCGGGATGCCAGTCAGAGGTACTACAACATGTTGATTACGGTGAGTTAATTTTTTGGAAACTTAAATTTCCTAATGGACCTCAAATATAAAGAACCAGCAAGCTGGTGCGCCTTTGGCGCGATACAACCGAGTCCATTTTACTGATTAGTCGCTCTTGTTCTTATTTTTTCTCAAAGGCCACGGAAAATCCATGTTTGTTTTACAACTTTTTCAAAAGTCGACAGAGTGACACCAGGACCAACAGACGCGTGTAGCGTTTTATATATAAGGAACATAAGTATTGTTAGTCGATATTTCTTTAGTTTGTTATCGAGAACATCTGTAAACTCATATAATCAAGAGTCTCGTTGGAAAACTTCCTGAATACTTTATTTATGTTAAGAATGATCAAGCGTAACAATTGAAATCTGGGTTTGAATATATTTGGAAAAGTGCTCTAGGAAACAAATAATCTATTTCCTTTTAATCCTATAAATTTTTTTCTATTTGACCACACTAATTGTTCATTTCAAATTTAAATGTATCCCTTCTTACAAACTATTACCATTGCCGAAAATTCAAGAACACAAGGTCGAAATGTCGGCCTGTGTGACCATTCTAGTATTATTTCCACTCTCATCTTACCCTTCCTTTTTCGGGATAACACATTTTCCTTATTCGCGAATGGTATTCTTCTTTCAATCCATTTTCTTGTTCCGAAACAATTTTTCTCCACTAACAATTTGATTCCATATACGTTTGTATGTAGACTATTCTTATAGGACAAGAAATATGACATGAAGTTAGGTGTTTCAACTTTTATTTAGTTGTAGCGATAATTCGAATTTTCCAAAAACTTTTTGTTATTTTCCCAGTGTTCCTCAAGCGATTCCAATTTCCAATTGTCTCACAGACTATATCAAACAAAATGAATTTCTACTATTGTCAAATTTTGTAATTTCTCATTTTGTAATTTCAAATCTTCACAGACTCTTCTCTTCTTTTTTTGCTTTTCCAATTTCGATTCTTCTTCGTTCGTTATCACAAAAAGGGAACCGCTCGCGTTCATATATATTTATGTTTCTTCCGTTTTGTTTATTTCTCCCATCGAAAAAAATAGGGTGGAGCCTGTCACAGCGGTATATATTTTCTATTTTTCCTAGTCACCAAGTTTTTGCGACACTCGGAAAAATGGAGCAGCAAACCATATTCTGTTTTGATTCGCTACTTGACGTGGCAATTCGCTGTTGGCGGCTTAACCATAGGAATGATATCAATCGGAGAAGAATCAGTCATGAGGTCTATAAGGTATGCTAGGGTAGAGATAGCTAGATAGCTTCAAAGCTCAGTTCATTAAATGTACGTTTTCTAAATGTTTGCCGCGCTACCGACGCTTCAAACATCTGGCTGGTGGGACTACGGCGCGAGTTCGTTGACTCTTTTGAAAAACTTCTTAAAATTTCAATGATTTTTTTCTTATTGTTCTTAAGACCTGCGAACTTCAAAATTTATGTTGGGTCATATTTTGCGGATGTTTTGCTGTGGGAAACTTCCCTCTTGGGGAAACGGAATGACATACAAAGATGAAAAGACACAACATCGTATTTACAGATGCCTTTTATGTTGGTCCATTCATTTATTACCGTATTACCTGTAATAGAAAGGCCCCAATCTTTCAACGTCAATACATTTTATCTCGTTTCCTGTGGTAGATATAAAAAAGAAATCCACTGACAAATTGTTCATCATAATATCATGAACATTTTTTCTGTGGATACATTTTTGATATCTCTTAGAAGAGCCGAGATACTCGAGCTCTAACTTGACGGAGTGATGACACATTTATTACAGGATTTTATGGTATAAGAATGATAGTTGTTTTTTTTAATTTGAAAGTATCCAACTGTAGACTTTTACCTATTCAACGAACTTGCTTTAAAAATAAGCAATCATCAGTGTACGACGTTTTTGAATGTAAACGAGATCTCTATTCTGCCAGTTTTCTGATTTTTAGAAATATAAGAAAATAAGCTCTAGCATTTCCAAATTTTGCTTTTGTCGCATCTGTTTTTCGAAAGAAGCCGATTCAATTGAAAGAAGCATCACCTAGACCAGCAACAAACACAAAACCATTATAAGAAATAGGAACGAAAAGGAGAGAAGAAGAAAGAGCAACATAATATATGAATAACCAGCTGGCTGGTTGGTTACCCCCTTTGTTTATGGGTAGGGGAAACTGCTTATGTATTTCCATGGAAATTTGAGAATGATTTATTGAATGGTATGCTAATGAATAATGCCCTTTATCATATTCTAATGTTATTTCGTACATTGAAGTTCTGTAGAACCATGATTCTCAAAAAAAAACAAAACAAAAAGATCGTTTCATTTTGCAACTATAATTTTGGTGGAGAAGACTTCTATTTTTTTTTGTTAAAGTTCGTGATGCTCTTAAACTTTTGTGCGTTCTGATTGTATTAAAAAATATACCTGCCCCCATGGGAAGCGGTAAAACTCTGTGTCCTCAGCCCCACGCTTATAAAACTGTATATAAACAATGCAAACATACACACATTGTGACCTTATGTTGCATTGCATAAATGAACAATCGCCCTTTTCATCTCTGGTTCACTCTCTTTCCTTTCTGTACTATCTAGCTTCTCCCGAACCTATACGGAAATTCCGTTCTCTGTCTGTTGCCTCTCTTCCACCTGTTCTGTGATGGTGGCGGAGAGATTGGTGAATAGAAACGAACAGACGAGGGTGTCCTTTTCTGTGTTGAGGGGTGACACCCAGTACCTTCTCCTGCCTCCTCTTCTTACCTCTAAATGTACATAAACAAATTGCGCCCCGGGGAGCGAGAGAGGACGCACTCTCCCACACTTTCCCTTCAATTTAGAACTGTATTTCTTCTCTTCCTTTTTTTCTCCATTTTTGTCTCGATGTATAAGTTTAGGAATGGAATTTTGCTGGAGAATTTGAGTCATCACTTTAGTAGGGTCATCTGCATTTTTCATTTGTGGTCTTGAAAGCTTTTTGTTTGAGTTTGATGCTCATAAAGTAGTTATTCTGCATAAAGCAACTCGTATCGTTGTTTGGTTATAAGTTAAAAATCTTTGTTCCAACTAGCCCTAGTTCTCCAACCACCAATAATATATTGCTAGATTTATAATTTTTAACAAATCTTCTAACACACACTCTTTTCTCATTCGCTTCACCTCTTTTTTGTTAGATTTCTTTTCCATATATCTTTTTTTTTCTGGACCATTTCTTATTTTGGAATGTGGCTGGAATGTGCTAGAGAATATGAGTCATACTATTTTCTATGAGACCCAAATAGGTTATATTGCAAAATTTGATGCACGGTTTTTTCCTGTTCGAAATGAGTGTTGGTCTAATTATTTTCAAGTGAGATCCAATTTTCTGTTTATCTGAAGAACTAGTGTCTTCGGGAGGTTCAGTTTTATACCAGGGATCGTATTTTAAAAAAACGATTGATCATTTTGTTCCATTCACCAGGAAGCTCCACATTTTATTGCAAAAATTGCAAAAATTATCATAAAAATCTATTTATTTTTCACCTCCTCTCTCTGAATATTTTAGCATAATCCGTGTTGTTTGACTCGATTTCCCCCCCCCCCCCTTGATTTTTCTAATAATAATAATAATAATAATAATTTTATTGATTCAGGACTATCAGTCACTTATAAAATCAATGTGTTACAAATTAAACAAATGAGTTAGAAATTATGTTCGTCTAGGAACAGGAAAGAAGATAAATTAACATGACTGAAATTAGTTTTAAAAGAGATGGATGAAATCAAGAGTGGGAACACGGTTTTTGGAAGCGAGTTCCAGCAGGATATAATACGGAGAGTAAGAAATTGAGCAGAAAGTTTTGATGCATTTTTTAATGCACAGCGAATGTAATATGGGTGGCGTCTTAGATGATTATGATGAAACGGGACAATGAATAGATTATGGGCAGTGGCGATTTCCCGGGAAACTAGCGTTTTATACATAAAAACTAGATCGGATAGAAGTCGACGGTACTCTAAGGATTCTAAATTGTGATCACGGAGACAATGAAAGTAAGATATATAGGGATAGTTGAACTTCTTGTAACATCGGAACAGGAATAACTTTTAACCTATTGACCCGTTTATACTTCAACCAAGTGTAAATGGGTTTTCAAAAATTACTTATTGAAATTTCGACATTTTAAGAAGCCGTTTTTTAACCCACTTTTTCTTTAGCAAGAGAGATGAGTCATATTTCTGCATTCTTTCCTTTTTGGGTTACGCATAATTTTTTCATTATTTTTACATTTGCATTCCTATCGAATCAGCTATCTCAGATTCTTCTCCAATTTTTTTACACTGCTTTGAAAAATCACTTTCTTTATCTTTCTAATCATTTTTCATCCGAAATTGTTATCTTCTCATTTCGCTTTACTTCTTTTTTCCAGAACCCAAACAATCCTAGCTTAATCGAAAAAGTTTGTATTTCAAAAATGATGACGAGTGGAACAAGTAATGGTGTACCACCATTGAAGGTAAGAATATACCCCGAGTATTCCAAATTGCATAATATGTCCGTATATGTGTATCTAGAGATTCTGGTTCCTGATAACCATACTCTTACTTTTCTCATCTCGTCTTATTCATCATCTTGTTTTAGCGGGGCTTAGTTTCACAAAAAATATTGCTACTGTTCTAAAACATTTTCTGAACCTTTGTTTTGATCAGCGAAATTTTCTATTTCCAATGGTCCTCCAAAAACGCAAAAGATCGTAGTTTTGGAACATAGTCGAATTCATCTGGTAGATCACCAATCTGGAATCCTTGATTGGAGTAGAAAGAGAGGCCACTTGAACACATGTACATGCGTGGAATCGCCACTGGAGAAAAAAAATCGGTGAATGTACGGCAGGAAAATGGAAATATCGGAAAGAGATAGTTCAAGAGACGCAGGCAGTTCCAAATATACACATTCATGTAAAAACGGACGGTTTTTAAGGAACGGAGAACAATATAATGCAAAAGAGAAATGAACAGTGCGTTTTTTAAATTTGAAAAATGTTTTTAAGATTTCCAAATCGGATGACAAAAAAATTCCTGCCCCTGGCTGTCCATTTTTTTTCTCCTATAGGGATTACGAGATTATCTATTATCTTTTTTGGAAACTCTACGAACAAGTTTTTTAATACACACCATCCCCTCGTTCATTTCTCTTTGATCTATCCCGTTCTGTGTCAAGAAAAATGAGAGAGATTGGAGTTGTTTTTTATCCCAACTGTCAGTAAAATGCTTGTTTTTTTCATGAGTCTAAATAATTAGATAATCATATTTTTCTTCAAAGTTAGATTTTTCAGAGTAATTGAACATGAACATTGAAAGGTTGATAAACCCAGTTTGTATTTTTTATCCTCTAATTTTTATAAACATTGGGACCCGTGTATACGGTAACATGATGCACACTTGCCCCTCTAACAAATCACGTGTAACTCACTATTGTCTTTTGCTCTTTTGCTCCAAACACCTCACCAACTAACAGTCCCTTTCCGGAAAGCCGCCTAGGCTCTCTTTCCGCCAATACGCGCGTCATTCTAAAAGCTGTCGCCCCCTACCAAAAAGCTTCCGGAAATTTTGAGCAAGAAAAAGCGAGTATGATGTTTATATTGGCACCCCAGTCAGGCAGCACCTCACAAATGTTTTTTCTCTTTTACCGTTTTGTTGACTTCCCAGCGTGCTCATTGAGCCACTGGACACACATATACAGGCTTCTGGACTTTTGAATGTGATTGCTTAAAATTTATTTCAGCAATACTTTTTTTCTGGAGCTTGGTCAAACTATTCAGCATGTACAGTAGAACTAAACATTTTTCTGAGATAACGTTTGGGAACACGAAGTTTGCATAAAACTATTTGTATTTCTTCAATTTTTCATTACGGTGAAATTGCCGAGATTGGCACCCTGAGAAAATGAAGCAACATCTGGAAATACAAAAGTTGACGATATTACCGTAGACACTGTATAAGAAGGCCACCCAAACCATTAACTTTGAGTATATATAACTTTGAGTATGTATCTCGGTTTCTGTAAAAGATATCGAAAAGTTTTCAACTAACAAATTGTTAATCATAATATCACCAATTTTTTATTAGTGCACTACTTTTTGATATCTTTTACAGTCACCGAGATATTTGGGCTCGAAGTTGGCGGTTTAGGTGGCCTTCTAATAGAGTGATTACGGTAATTTGATCATTCTCAAATATTGCCAGAAAGTTTTCACAACAACTATCACCTCCATTTTAATAAGTTTTTCAATTTACGCATTCCAAAAGTCTAGTTAAAAAACGCAAGCCTCTGTTCGTTGTACATTTTTTTTCAACGTTAACATCCCGTTTTCTCCCACATCAATTATTTACTCATACTCTCATTAAATTTCATCTATTCATAAATGCATGAATCATAAAACCCTTGCCTAATAGTAAATGAAAAAAAACGTCTACAGATTTATCGTGCTTTTTCGTTCAATTCGTTTTTGTCTCCTTCTCTAAAACTCGACCTCTCGGTCTTTTAGATTCGTGCAGAGAGAAAATAAGTCGTTTATTATTTGTTCGTCTCTACCGATGACTCATCGCCAAAGCGAAAATTGTATGTATATCCATCTTTGTGCAACATTTCAGTATTTATATTTGCATATGTATACAAAAGGCTAAAAAGTGTAAAGTTCGATCTAGCAAAATAATTGAAATTCTTCTGATTGACAAAAAAAAATTAGGTTTTTTGAAGAACTTTGATTTTTGCATGATAGTATTTTATACATTTCGGATGTTCATCAATTTTTCGTAATTCTATTTTACACCGAGATGCCGTACCGCTCAAAGGTTATCCACTTTATCATAGTAGGACATAGCCGACTGTGGGTTCTCTAAAAGTATAATGTATTTTGACGAATAGGTCTGAAAAGTTAAAGGTTAAACAAAACATTGTGAAAGTTCAAACTTGAAGCTCTATATTTTAATTGGTGGGACCTAAATCTTTTCGGCCACCTTCTTACTTTAAATCGAGTAAGTTTCACGCACCCCCATTTTGTAGAAATTTCGTAGAAATTTTTTAGAAGAATCGTAACTAGGTCAATTCCGGTCCGTTTTGTCTGATTCTTTTTTTAATCGATAGAAAATCTCTATGACTATCCGGTTGCTAAAACTCGTCAGAATTGGTACTTTTACAGAGCCAGGGCCGAAGGCCCTGCATCTGATTCCACCTAATTGCGCGGCATAGCCGCGCCTAGCGGAGTCGGCCGTAGGCCGAGGACGCTAGTCCGGCATATGGGACAAAATATAATATATCCAATCAAATGTTTTTTGTTGATAATCTTTCAAAATAATTACGAAAAGTTTTGAAATGAAATGTATTGCGAAATTATCTAAATTCCATTTTGAATATTAGAATGTTTATCATTTGTAATCTATCCACTGAAACTCGCAAAACTCTTTAATCATTAAAAACCGAAAGAGTGTATGATACCTGTCTTCGAGGAAAAACATTTGATATACTTTTACCCTTTCAGTGTTGTTGACTTAAGAGAATTTCGGTCACCTCTCGACGGGCGGTCTTTTTTTTCAATTCACATCTGAGAAGAAGAGGGCTTCCGTTTTCATTTTCACCTCCTCATTCAACATTTTCTCGCTGCGATGATCTTTTTTGGGGTGACAGCTGTAGCAAAGCGGGAAGAAAAGAATAATAAATAGAGGCAAAAAATGAACCATCTTTTTTGTTTCACTAATTTAGAAACTTACCTGAACTGTGAATAATTATAAAAATGAATAGACTTTCTAAAAAAAAATAATTATTTTAATTTTTAACTTTATTAAAAATTGGTGTTTCTGTGCACTTTATGTGTTCGTATTAGGAACCAAATTTCTCTACTCTTCGGTTATGAAATGTGCACCGATTCGTCTGACTTTCAGACGCAACAGTAACATCTTTGAAGTTTTGCTAATTTTCGCAGTTATCTTTTTTTGTAAAGTATGCTAATACCTCTATTCTGAAATGACGAATATTTCGAATCATCCGTTGCCAAAAACAATGCAGTGACTCATAATGAACCATCATCATCATCTGCCCTTTCGTGCCATCCTTTTCTATCCATTTTCTCACCAGCTGTCCACTCATCTATTTTTTTTCTGTCCTTGATATTGCTGGGTGTCAAATCGAATCGAACAAGATTTTCACCTCTCTCGTCTGTCTGCTTCTTTCCTTGTCTCTTCTGAATTCGATACTCTCTTGGTTTTCTCATTTATTACCCCTTGTTTGATGGAGGAAGGATGGACAGAATTGGAAGACATTTCTCACATTCCAATCTTCGTTTTTATGCATCTTGATTCTTTTTAGGTCTTGAATTAGAAGGAGGTAGCGAGGACATCCGTACATAAAGTAATTTAGATTTTTGAAATCATACCAAAGTTTTCAAAAGTGGACTTATAACAAATTCAGAAAATATCAAGCAAAAAAAAAACTATGAGCGTTTTGAATGTAGTATTGAAGAAAACCAAAAATTTCATGGGAATAAGCACATCATCTGAAATACATCATTTCGTTTTACAAATAAAAAAAACCTCTTTTGAAAATCTGGGGACTTCAATTTTGTTTTTTTCTTCTGGTTCTCTCCTAAAACTGTTGATCCGTGAAAACGGAGAATTTCCTCCTTTTCGGAAACTCTCCCTAGCCCAACACTTTTTTCATCATCAACAGATGTCTTTAATTACCATTTTATTTCACCGACACCTGTTGTTGGTGTTCTTTTTCGGAGAGAAAAACGAGGGAAGAGAAAACTAATGATTTTTCGAGAACATTAGTTTATACGGAGAAAACTTCAGCATTTTTCAACTGTTATTTTTTCAGCCTTCGCGAAGTTTCCTACCACAAGATAACGGCCCAATGTTGCACAGAAGTCCATCAGGAGCAAAAAGGAAGATTCGACAGAAGCGGACTGCGGCAGAGGAAGCGTAAGTTTTTTGGAGTGTTGGAAGTTCAAACGGTTATTCCAAAAACGTTCAGCGCACTATCCCGCCCATCCCCATTCTTCTCGCCATCCAGCTCCTCTTCTCAAACGTCCATCTCCCCAACACCAACCGAAACATCATCCAACTACCGGTCTCTGATTGATTCCGGAGACTATCAATCCATTCTTCCCGATTTTGATCCCTCGTTCGTACCTGTTCCAACACCAAGGTAATTTTTTTTGTTATTCAGAAATTGACCAGACTATGGCGATAAAGTGCAAGTTTGAAGATTGTTTCTCTCTTCTGTAGGAAAATATTAAGAAAATTGTTAGAAATTTAAATTTTATTTTTTAATTTCGAAAGAAAAGGCTGTTTCCAGAGTTTCAGCTGAAAACGTTCCTTTTCGAAATTTTACTTTTATATTCAAACAGCTTTTTTCTACTTCCAATTTTTAAAAGCATCAAAAATACTGTACCAAAATGTCGAAAAACTGATGTATTTGTCAGAAAGCTTATCTAGGTCAACACTCGTTTTTTGGGTACCTCCCTAAATACACCCAAAACCATAAAAGTGGAACAACCGGGCGGTTCAGTTATGCATTCGGTCGAATTTCATCTCCATTTCGAAAAACGGGACAAACGGTTATATGCATTCTATTTTTTATTCCTACAGCCATGTATCTCCTATTCTCTTTTCTACTCTCATTCAGTTTAGTCTAGTTGAACTAGTGGCGGACAAAAACTACTGTGACATAGTTTGGATTACATATGTCAGTTAGAAATTTCGCGGTTATTTTCTCAAGAGTTGATTTTATTGTGTCGTAAAAGGATGCTAGAGTAAAGCTTTTTGAAACTTAATTTTGGGTTAGATATGATTAAAATTTGGTTTTTAAGCTCAGATTTTCTTGAGCATCTATTATAGGCCCCAGTTTGTTTAAATCACATATTTCGTTTTTTAATTTGTAATTTGTTTATTGAACAGATATAATGATAACTAGAGGGCAAAACATAAAAGACTCAGAAAATGCCCCTCACGTTTTCAAGGTTATTTGTTAAAGAATAATCTGAAAGCGTTTAAGAAAATCGAGTAGTAACCACTTTGTAATAGGCTATATTATCCCCCAAGCTTCCTATATTCATGATCACATTTGGTCCGCGTTCTCCCACGTTATCACTATCGACTATCAATCGAAAGTGCGACATGTGAAAAGAGAAATTCATCTCTTTTTCCTTTTCCGACTTTTCGTATTTTTCCTCTCTTGAAAACGTTCTCTAATTTTCCGAGATATTCAGATATTAGAAATTATAATAATAGTGAAAGGACATCTTTTCACCTACTTTCCCTCGTGTATCATTCAGCCTAGATTCAGAAGAGAGAAGATTGAAACAACAAAGATTTCTGGAATACAATGATGGTGATCTTTGTGAATTTTGATAACGAAATGGTTAGGATGAACTCCGTTTTTTAAGTTCGGGTTGGTATTCAGAGATTAGATTAACGAGCCTGTTTGCCGCGGCTCCAGAGCTTCGCACGTCTGGCTGGTCTGCCTATGGCGCTAGTTTGTCGTCTTGCTCCTCACTTTTGTGTTACTGTTTTAAATTGGAAAGCTAATCTAAATCTGTGGGGAACTTCCCTCCTGAGAGTATGGAATACAAAGAAGAAAAGAGACACCACTTCATTTATTAAGCCTTATGAACTCGTTATGCTATTTGAGTCCTCAAAACTTAATATTCAAGATTAACAGTGAGCTGCAAACTTCAAGATATCGCTATTCAATTTTAATTTTTGGAGATCATAAACACGGTTTCCTACTTTAAGTTTATCAATGTTACTATCGTAACTTTCAGACGTTTTCCTAATTTCCATGCTTTCTAAATTCTGATCGAAACCTTTTTCTTTTTTCTTCCGCACTCTCTTAAGTGGCTTCCAAAATGCGCTAGGAATTCAAGCAATTCTCAGTCTAACTGTCTGAATCTCTCCAATTTCCCCGTACTTTCTCCCTGTCTTTATCCTGTGATCTGAATAATTGGCATCGCTTCCTGCGATCTCACGTAATCGTCTTCTTCTTCTTATTCCTCATCCGACAAGTTTCGCATTTTCTCCCGCACACCGCTCACTTCTTCTTTTTCATTTCCTATTGTTTCTGGAACAAGAAGAAACTTTGTGATGAATCTTTACTATTGGTTAGGATTTTATATAGTTTTGCCCTTTTCTGATCACCGCTTTCCTTGATCATTGTAAATTTTGATGAATAAAAGCTAGAGTAAACAAAACATGTTCTTATCACCTAAATTTTCAATGAAATGTTAAAGAGAAATTCACAGGTGCAAGTTGTGTCTTTTTCCTCTTGTGCCCAAAATAGTATATTTTCGAAAACGCCAGTTCGATTTTAAAATGACATCAATATTTCGAAAACACAATCATTCAAAATTCATTGATATTTCAGACTCTCCGTCCCATTCTCCAATTCGATGAGCTCATTAGAACTTTCTTCCAACACAACCGTATCCTCACCGGTTTCGGTTGTTGCTCCACAGGCTCCGCCCCCGATGCCACCTCCGGTCACAGCCAAGCCAACTGTTGAGGTGAGTAAAATTATATGAGAAAATTTTGGTCTCCGAAAAGAGATCCTGGTCTGAAATTTGGGCCCTTACCTTGAAATTGAATGTAGAACATTTTTATAACAAAGAAATGTTTTAGAATTCTTTTAAAAACTTATTTTACAACTAGTTTAATAGAAAAATCCTTTTTTCTTACCAATATGTTTTACGTTCAATTTTAAGGTACAAAGCAACATTCCAGACCTGAATATCTTATTTTTTATTCAAACCTATGACCTAAATAAAATTATTCAGATCCACTCTAGCCATTGAAACTATATATCTTATTCTCACAACTAGCCGTCAGAAATGAAAAATGTGGTGTTGCGATGGTGCTCCGGGCAGCACCACCCACACACATCTGTTGTAAAACAGACCGTAGTGTAAGAAAGTATACTGGTCTTTCTTTTGTTACTCAGTGTCTATTGGAACCCATCGGTAGTTTATAAAATGTTATAATGAGCTTCCAACTGCTGCTGCGCTTATATTGAGCATTAGAACATGTAAACAATAAAATCAGTAAAACAATATTTTTGAATTCCTGATCCTGCTACAGTTGGATCTTCTGATTTTGACCTGTTCTTTGATGCAAACACAGAGGCTTGTAACATTAATTCTAATCAAACTTAATATTCAGGTTCATCCAATGCCAATCGACGAGCGTAGTCCTTCCATGGCCTCATCTTTGAACGGATCCATTGATATTGATATCTACAAACCAAAGCCTCCGGTGCCAATCAAACCAAAGGGCTTGAGAATTGATCATTTAAATCGGTGAGTTTTTTATAACGCCATGTATATAAATTCTCCTCGCAATGGATTACTTTTAACATTTTTTGTGAGCCTAATATGGAGTTAACCCCGATTGCAAATATTGAGTCTCGGTTACAAATACATCGAAAATTCCATTCTTATCACATAAACATATGATGTTTGCATTTTTTTTTGTCTCCCTATGCAAATATCAGACGGCTTACGACCTTTTAGGAAGAGGAATAGTTTCAAGTATTTTCATATTGCATAAAGGCCCAAAGTTCAGAAATTTTGGGAAAATGTTTCTGCTTTTTACACCTAGACACCCACCTACACAATTTGCCATTAGAATTTCTTTAATCGATTTTTGTTGGGAAAAAGCATATGATTCCAATTTCCGGACTAAAAATCTCCGCCTACCTATGAGAAGCTTAAAGTTCTCGATGCTTCTAAATGAATTCTTCAGAACTTCATAGAAAAAGACCCGATCTACAAATTTTCGTTTTCGATTCCCAGAATTTGTCAAAAAGCATTTCTACTGTTTATTTTTGACACGTTTCATGTGTAATGATAACATTTTCAGCCGTCTCCCTATACTTTTTATGACTAACTATTGTGTTTGCACTATACGAATCTCAAAAAAAGAAAAACATTTTCTAGAAGAACACTAAGAATATTTCCATAGTGTTTGAAATGTGTTCGCCGCATTTCGATTTTCAAGTTGTTTTTTCCCGATGATCTATTTTTAAATTTACAGATCAACCTCAATGACGTCCCTCTCCTCGCCATCTCCAATTCAGCATACCACTTCATCCTTCCTGAATAACTTCATGCCAACTCCATCTCTAATAAATCTTCAACAATCGTACCGTAATCCGGATCTGGGCTCGCAGGACCTGGCACGTCTCGAATCGACACGGCATGAAAGTATTCAAAAAGTCAGCAGGAAGCTAATCACTTATGAGGATGAGAAAAATATGATTGAAAACGAATTAGAAGAGGTTTTTGTATTTGGAATCAGCATTTGAAAAACAAAAGTAATATTCAGATCGAACGAACTGGTGCCCGTCTTTTATCAATAGTCGAGCAACAGGATAAAAATCTCGCTATCCGAGTACGCCGGTATTTAGAAAAAAGCAAGGAACTAGTGGGAATCGAAACGAACCTCCGTCTGCAATGGAGCAAACTGAATGAGCGCATTAAAGATGGTGCCATTGATATTGTAAGTTAACTCTAACATTTTAATCAATTTTAAAAACAATTTTCAGCAATCCGCCCGTGCTGAAGAGGGATACATTGCAAAGAGATTGAAGGACACTGATTTTTTGAGAAAAATTAGCACACGAAGAGAAGCTGATTACGATAAAGAACTGGTGAGTACTGTTTTGAGAAAAACTGTGTTCGGTATGAAAAAAATTAATTTAAACTTTTTTCAGTCGGAAATCTTCAACCAGGATGAACTTCATCAATGGTTCCTATTTAAGAAAGCCACCATCAAATGGCTCCAAAACGAATCGTCAGTCAGTTACTTCATTCGAGAATCCAACGCCAAACTCGATGCATTGCATCTTGTGCCGCGTGGCACAAGTGCGCAAATCTAACTGTTTTTCATATTATAACTGTTCATTGCTTTTTTCCGCTGTAAGTTTTGCCTAAACGGGTCTATATTCTCGTTCGCCTCCCACTTCCTCAGACACATTCTCAGAACATTTAGCACCAAACTTTTTTTGTACTTTCTTTGCTTTTTTCGGAGAAAAATGAACGGTATTCGTTGTGATAAATTTTGGTCAATTTGATTTTATTTATTTTTCCTATTGTTTCTCTTTTTTTGAATTGGGATTTCTTAATATACAACAGATTAATTTGAACCTTTCTCTTTTTTTGCTTCGAGATGAGAACTACAGTCGTTTTTAGTGTTCCAAAAAAATTTGAGCTGAAAGTATTTTTTAATATTTGACGATATTAGGAAAGATTGAAACTGTTCCAGGAAAAATTTTCACAACAGTTTAAAAAAATTTCAGGCTCAAATCACTCATTTGAATGGAGTTATAGCTTAACTGAAGATATTTTTTTCGATCAAAAAAATGTTTAAAAATTCTTAATAACTTTGTTCGAATAAGAGATTTGGGCCTGAAATTTCGGAACGTAACTTAAAATTAAATGTAGAACTTTCCTATGACAAAAAATCAAATAAAATTTTTTTTGGGATTTCGAAAAAAATGCCTTATGTAAGACTTAGCTTTTTTTTCGATCAAAAAAATTTTTGTCAATTTTTTGAGATTTTTTGTTATGAAAACGTTTCACATTCAATTTTAGGTACCAAATTCAAATATCAGATCGAGATCTCTTTTTGATACGAAGTTATGGACAAAATCCTGAAACCGAATTTTGGCTTAAGTACATGCTTAGGAAAATTCTTAATAACTTTGTTCAAATAAGAGATTTGGGCCTGAAACTTTTGGACGTAACTTGAAATTGAATGTAGAACGTTCCTATGACAAAAAATCAAAAAAAGTTTTTTTTGGGATTTCGAAAAAATGCCTTATGTAAGACTTAGCTTTTTTTTCGATCAAAAAAATGTTTGTCAATTTTTTGAGATTTTTTGTTATGAAAACGTTTCACATTCAATTTTAGGTACCAAATTCAAATATCAGATCGAGATCTCTTTTTGATACGAAGTTATGGACAAAATCCTGAAACCGAATTTTGGCTTAAGTACAGGCTTAGGAAAATCCTTAATAACTTTGTTCAAATAAGAGATTTGGGCCTGAAATTTTAAGAAGGAACTTGAAATTGAATGTAGAACGTTTCTATGACAAAAAAAATTTTTTTTTGGGATTTCGAAAAAAAAATTACATAAGGCATTTTTCGTAATAAAGTTCAAATAGAACTTCGTATCAAAAAGAGATCTCGATCTGATATTTGAATTTGGTACCTAAAATTGAATGTGAAACGTTTTCATAACAAAAAATCTCAAAAAATTGACAAACATTTTTTTGATCGAAAAAAAAGCTAAGTCTTACATAAGGCATTTTTTCGAAATCCCAAAAAAAACTTTTTTTGATTTTTTGTCATAGAAACGTTCTACATTCAATTTCAAGTTACGTCCCAAAATTTCAGGCCCAAATCTCTTATTTGAACAAAGTTATTAAGGATTGTTCTAAGCATGTACTTAAGCCAAAATTCGGTTTCAGGCTTTTGTCCATAACTTCGTATCGAGAAGAGATCTCGATCTGATATTCGAATTCGGTACCTAAATTTGAATGTAAAACGTTTTCATAACAAAAAATCTCAAAAAATTGACAAACATTTTTTTGATCGAAAAAAAAGCTAAGTCTTACATAAGGCATTTTTTCGAAATCCCAAAAAAAACTTTTTTTGATTTTTTGTCATAGAAACGTTCTACATTCAATTTCAAGTTACATCCCAAAATTTCAGGCCCAAATCTCTTATTTGAACAAAGTTATTAAGGATTGTTCTAAGCATGTACTTAAGCCAAAATTCGGTTTCAGGCTTTTGTGCATAACTTCGTATCGAGAAGAGATCTCGATCTGATATTCGAATTCGGTACCTAAATTTGAATGTAAAACGTTTTCATAACAAAAAATCTCAAAAAATTGACAAACATTATTTTGATCGAAAAAAAGCTAAGTCTTACATAAGGCATTTTTTCGAAATCCCAAAAAAAACTTTTTTTGATTTTTTGTCATAGAAACGTTCTACATTCAATTTCAAGTTACGTCCCAAAATTTCAGGCCCAAATCTCTTATTTGAACAAAGTTATTAAGGATTGTTCTAAGCATGTACTTAAGCCAAAATTCGGTTTCAGGCTTTTGTCCATAACTTCGTATCGAGAAGAGATCTCGATCTGATATTCGAATTCGGTAACTAAATTTGAATGTAAAACGTTTTCATAACAAAAAATCTCAAAAAATTGACAAACATTTTTTTGATCGAAAAAAAGCTAAGTCTTACATAAGGCATTTTTTCGAAATCCCAAAAAAAACTTTTTATGATTTTTTGTCATAGAAACGTGCTACATTCAATTTCAAGTTACGTCCCAAAATTTCAGGCCCAAATCTCTTATTTGAACAAAGTTATTAAGGATTGTTCTAAGCATGTACTTAAGCCAAAATTCGGTTTCAGGCTTTTGTCCATAACTTCGTATCGAGAAGAGATCTCGATCTGATATTCGAATTCGGTACCTAAATTTGAATGTAAAACGTTTTCATAACAAAAAATCTCAAAAAATTGACAAACATTTTTTTGATCGAAAAAAAGCTAAGTCTTACATAAGGCATTTTTTCGAAATCCCAAAAAAAACTTTTTTTGATTTTTTGTCATAGAAACGTTCTACATTCAATTTCAAGTTACGTCCCAAAATTTCAGGCCCAAATCTCTTATTTGAACAAAGTTATTAAGGATTGTTCTAAGCATGTACTTAAGCCAAAATTCGGTTTCAGGCTTTTGTCCATAACTTCGTATCGAGAAGAGATCTCGATCTGATATTCGAATTCGGTACCTAAATTTGAATGTAAAACGTTTTCATAACAAAAAATCTCAAAAAATTGACAAACATTTTTTTGATCGAAAAAAAAGCTAAGTCTTACATAAGGCATTTTTTCGAAATCCCAAAAAAAACTTTTTTTGATTTTTTGTCATAGAAACGTTCTACATTCAATTTCAAGTTACGTCCCAAAATTTCAGGCCCAAATCTCTTATTTGAACAAAGTTATTAAGGATTGTTCTAAGCATGTACTTAAGCCAAAATTCGGTTTCAGGCTTTTGTCCATAACTTCGTATCGAGAAGAGATCTCGATCTGATATTCGAATTCGGTACCTAAATTTGAATGTAAAACGTTTTCATAACAAAAAATCTCAAAAAATTGACAAACATTTTTTTGATCGAAAAAAAAGCTAAGTCTTACATAAGGCATTTTTTCGAAATCCCAAAAAAAACTTTTTTTTGATTTTTTGTCATAGAAACGTTCTACATTTAATTTTA